GGGAATCGAACCGAGATCTCTTGGATCCTAGGTCGATGCTCAACTGCTGAGCTACACCCGGCCAGGCAGCTTTATTAATTTTTATTGAGGTATAATGGATATTCAACAGTATATTAGTTTCAGGTATGCACGTTATGATTTGATGTTTGTATATATTGCAAAGTGACCACCACAATAAGTCTAGTTAACATCCACTATCATACATAGTTATATAGGGTTTTTTTTCTTGTGATGAGAAATTTTAAGATCTACTCTCTTAACTTTCAAGTATGCAGTGCAGTATCAACTATAGTCACCATGCCTTATTTTAGACATTACATCCCCATGCCTTATTTTATAACTGGGAGTTTGTACCTTTTACCCCCTTTACCCCGTTTCTCCCACCTCTGCCCCCCATTTATTTTAGATAGTATGTAAACTCCAATCCATCATTATTCTTATGTTGATCTTCCTAGGTTCAACAGAATCCTTCTTTCCATGAGCTCATAGCATTTAAAAGGGGAACATCTTGAATCTATAACTCCCCAGGTAGTATGACCCAGGAAGTGTTCTTTGGGTCTTGATAAGTGAAGAATTTACACTTGAAATTGAGTGCACTTGAAAAAGAGCCTTTAGTTGTGGGAAGAGGAGCTGAATCTTCTCGCCTGCCTTGCTCACTCAACTGCCCCCTTAATCCCTACCTCATCTCCGATTCCTCATTTCTCATCTCCCACTAGAGGAGGGACAGAAGAGACGACTTCCTTGGAGAGGGTTTGTTCCTTAATAATAATAATAATAATAATAATAATAATAATAGTCATGTACAGGCAGTTGTTTCCCCAGCAGTAGTTACCTAGTTTTTAAATCTCTGGTCTTCTTACCTGTCACCAGGCAGGAGAGTTATGCACGGCCTTGGACTAGCCAGTGTGACCCTGCAATACTGAGGCTCTGTGACTCATTGGCGCCACGTGCCCATTTAGTGATGTTACCTGAGGTGTGGCCTCCAGGCACAGTCATCAGGAGTTAGGAGTGAGGAGGGAATCACCTTAGGCTGCCACCAGGTTTTGAGGCACCATGAGGCACGGGAGGTGCTGGGCTATTGATGGGAACAAAAGAAAAGTTAGGAACAAACTCAAAGGATTAAGAGCTCCAGAAGCGACATCTTAGCTTTAAACGGCTTAGAATGGTACTACAAGAATAATTATTAGCATTTTTGAATCCATATGATATTTTAGGTGTTTTACAAATAAAATCTGTAATCCTCATAACAACTCAGAACAGTGGGTATCCAGTGCAGTTTACAGAAGGAAGAGCGAAGCTCTGCAGAGTTGGGCTAGATTCTATTTTACTAGATACAGACGGGCAAAGGCCAGGCCGTCTGATTCTCGTGCACCCAGGGCAGCCCACCATTGATGGTAGCGGCCCACCATAGATGACACACCAGCCCATTTAGCACTTGTCAGAGGAACTAAAGGGACCAGCTGGACCTTGGCTAGAGACGCCTCTACCCTGGAATCTGATACCTGCCTGCTGACTCTCTTTTGCTACTAACCTCTCTCTTCTTGTGTCTGAATGGGATGGAGCCTGTAACCCAGCTTCACTCCTTTCCAAGTTAGGAAAGCCTCTGTGTGAGCATTGGGGGCATCCTGTTGAAGAAAGGGCAGAATGTCCCTATAGTTAAATCCAGAGAAGAGTATCTTTATGGCAGCGTTTCTCAATGGGGACAATTTTACCCACTCGCCACTCCCCGGGGACATTTGGCAGTGTCCAGAGACATTTTTGGTTGTCACAAATGGTACCTAGTAAGTCAGAGACGCTGCTAAGCATCCTACAGTACCCAGGACACTGCCTCCACCCCCCACCCTCCCCCAGCAACAGGC